TATATATATATATATATATATATATATATATATATATATATATATATATATATATATATATATGTATATATATATATATATATATATATATATATATATATATGTATGTATATACATGCGTATATATATAAATATAAATATATATATATATATATATATATAAGTACGAAACATCTTCCCACCTTGTGATAATCGCGAGTCCTGTCGGTGTCATTGGACCACATCCCGGTTCCCGTTGATCTGTGTGAGCGCCACAGGTAATGACAAGCGTTAAACCCCACTTTTATCTCAAAAAACCCCGAGTTTATCATTTTAACTATATAATTACACGAGTGGTGTGAATATATATATAGATGCCGTGTACATATACATGTTTGCGGTAAGGTTGAAAAGGTTGTGTACACGCGGTCAGAGTACCAAGCGCACACTCGACAGCTAGGCAATTGGGGTTTTAGGGTCTTTAGGCTTCTATTCAAAAGCTAAACACTCTGCATCACGCGAGCACTTACACGGCAGCACAGAACCCCCCACACGTCCACGCTGGAATGCATCACACAAGTAGGAATACGCGCACACACACACACACACACAGAAACAAACACATAAATAAATATTCAGTGAATTCAGAGTCGTCTGTGTACACGCGGACGGTTTTCTATCACATATCTGAACACACACACCACATCGCACGAACCCACATGCAGCAGCACAGCCACCGCCAACATGCTGCACACTGATATAAACGTGCACACAAACGCGCGCAGATACATACTCCGTGAGTTCAAAGGTGTCTGTGTACAAGCCGTCGGACTTCCATCGCGCACACCGGCGCCTCACAACACACACCACGCCACACCCACAGACGCACAGCAGAACGGCACCTAAACACAGGCACACCCACAGCCACACACGAGAGCTATCCTCTGTGTCCGTGTCTGTGTCTGTAGATGACATGGTTCCTGTGTGTGCGTGTACTTGCGAGGGTCCGACTGTGCCTGAGGTGTTTGGCGCTCCTGAATGGACGTTGACTTGCTCATCTGCAGATGGGAATGTTATGGGCATGTAGGATATGGCTCTAGCTTAGCGTAGGTATATACATAATAGTATATTCATTTAAAATATAAACACGAATATATGTATATATACATATATATAGTGGCATTTTCAACTTACCAAGGAAGTTTGGAGAAACGCAGCAACATACATCAGTTCCGTCAGAGCCGTGAACCATATAGAAGTATAGTACCATGCATCTATCACTCGCACATGCCCAGATGAAAACATTCAGTCTATTTCAGTATACACATGTACACAATACAATCGTTTGTATATACATAGACTGTTGCGTGTAGCATTGTACATGAGCCAAGCACTTGAACAATCGTGCGTCACTTACCGTCTCTTGCCAATACAAACAATTCTATTTTTGTCTCCACTCCGGAGTACTCCATTTCGAGTGCGGAATGCACACTACATGCTATCGTCACCGACCCTTCGTCCACGAGCATCAAATGAAACATCGCACGCGGTGGCTTCTCCCCACCCGGCTGCAAACAAGTGGATGACAGCAGATTGATAAATTAAAGGAGGAAAATAACGGATAAAGATAGACTGATAAATCGAGTGAGATCATAACGGATAGTTTGTATTAAAGGATTTATGTGATACATATATGTAC